TCCCATCCCTCCCCATCCCTCCCCATCCCTCCCCATCCCTCCCCATCCCTCCCCCTCCCCTCCCCATCCCTCCCCTTGCCTTCCCTTGTCTCCCCTACCCTTCCCTTCCCTTCCCGTCCTGTCCCATCACTGTATCTTGGAAGAAATTGTAATTACTGAGGTGGTACAGTACTCGGGGGTGACTGAGGAATGGTAGTGAGGAGGGAGAAGGAGGGCAGTGAGGTCAGGGAATGAAGCATGGGTGCCAAATGGTAGCAGGGACAGAAGGCCTGGATCGAGGGCTATGTGGCTTGGTTGGGGAGCGATGGGGGCCCAGGGAAGAGGGTGTGTGTATGCGTGCATGTACATGTGTGTGGGCTGATATCAGTCTTTGGAGAGGGGATGGTGTGGAGGTCTGAAGGACAGAAGCAGAGATACCTCCTTGGTGGGGTGGAAGGAAAACCACGTGGCCTGTGAGAATTGCTGGAAATTCAGTGACCACGCCTGCAGGCAGTGCTCTTGGACACAGCAGGGAGGCAGGCTCAGGGTAAAAGAGGAGAGGGGACTGGCTGCCTCACAAGGGAGTTCCATGGGGCATGGGTGGGGTGGTAGGGTGTGCAGGCCTGAGAGGGTAGATGGTGCCTTTGCCAGTGACTGGCCTTGGGTCTTGGACCTCAGTCCTGACCCTTGTCCCTGACTGCAGGCATCTGCTTGATGCTGCCCGGAGCCTTCAACCCACACATAGGAGCCAACTCTCCACTCCTTGCCTTTGGCAGAGAACAGTCTAGAGACTCAGATGCGGAAGCTATACCCTTCATTGGAAGTTCATTGGCTTGGGCATGGTTGCGGGGGGTGACAATAATGAGGTCCTTTAGTTGGGTTGTCACATTCTGTGTTCCTGTCTCACTTAATTGTCATGATCCATCAGACCCACCAGGTGAAAGAGGTCTAGACAGGCTCCACGATTGGACAACTAATTAGAACCCAGGCCGCCCAACTGCAGTGCTGGTGCTCTCCTGTGGGGATGGTGGATGGGGTGGACTGAGGAGGGACCTCGGGCTGAGGACGACTGCTGGAGTGTCCTTCGTGTGCCCACAGACACCCGGGACTACATCTGTGAGTTCTGTGCCCGGTCTTTCCGCACTAGCAGCAACCTTGTCATCCATAGGCGTATCCACACTGGAGAGAAGCCCCTGCAGTGAGTGCCGGGAGGGGGCCAGAGGGGAGGAGGTGGGGTCTGGCAGTCCACCAAGCAGGACACTGTGCAGCAGGGAGCAGGAGGACACCTGGGAACGTGTGATGGACAAAGGTCCCTTCCTTCTTCCTCTGCCCTGGCTACAGGTGTGAGATCTGCGGGTTCACCTGCCGCCAGAAGGCCTCCCTCAACTGGCACCGGCGCAAGCATGCAGAGACAGTGGCTGCCCTGCGCTTCCCCTGCGAGTTCTGTGGCAAGCGCTTTGAGAAGCCTGACAGTGTTGCGGCTCATTGCAGCAAGAGCCATCCGGCTCTGCTCCCAGCCCTGCGAGAGTTGCCCAGGGGCCCTGTGGAGCCCTATCCTGGCATTGCTGCTTCTGAGCCCTTGGGGTCCAGTGAGGGATCTGGGCCCCCTCTGTCTCCTCAGGCTCCAACTCTGCTGCCTCAGCAATAAGCTTGTTAATGTGGGGAGCCAGACCCCAGGGTTTGAAAAGGAATGAGGAAGAGAGGCCCAGAGGGAGATGCCTGGTTCCCGGAAACTAGGGTGTTGGGGAATGCAGGGTGGGGGTGAGACTGGGCTGCAGGAATCTTCACAAGGGATAAAATAAACAGTATTTTACATGGCATGTGTAGGCAGAGCAAGTGTTTGGCCCTTGAGGTGCTGGAATTCTGGTTGCCTTTGAAAGCAGGCTTCACTAGAATGTGCCAGAATGCAGTACAGGTACAGGCCCTAACCCTCTGCAGGCCCTCATTTGCTCTGATCCTTTCCAGATTCATCCTGGCACTCCAGCCCTTCCTGTGGAATAGGATGCCCACCCTCACACTGCAGTAGAGTCTGGAGAGTGCAGTGTCACTCGAGACCAGCTAAGCAGGAAAAGAAGCTCCTGATCCTGAGCCCAGAAGTCTCACCTTCTAGCACACAACCAGGGGTGCTATGTGCAGTGTCACCAAGCTTCCCTGGGAGAGGTGGGACACCTTGGAGCTGAACAGCCCTGGCTCTCAGTTCACTCCCCAAATCTGTGAAAACAAAGGGGTCTCTTGGCATCCAGAACTCAAACAACTCTTTATTTCATCAGTAATAAGCAAAAAGTTGTTGGCTGACTCCAGAGGATTCCTGTCCTACTCTCCTCCACTGTGGAACTTGCCTCTGAGGCCCCAAGCTTGACGTGGAAACAACATGCTGATGGCCCACGGTAGTGCCCAGCTTCGTGAACATACATGGTTGTTGGCCTGGGTCCCAGGACAAATGTCCCCAACCTGGCTGGATAACACTGTCCTAGGAGATACCTTGATCTGCCCTGGGGACAGATAGGGGACTGTGTTGAGAGCCCCGCCCACCTTCACGTGGGTGGGCCCCCTCTGCCAGAAAACTTTCCACCTCCACACTATTTCACTCAGAAGCAGAGGTAGAAAGCAGAGGTTAACAGGTGGATCCGAGAGGCAGGAGGACCACAGGGCTGGCAACACGGCTGTAGCCTTACCTGTGATCACTACCTGAGGAGGAAGGACAGAAGTACTGGCAAAGGAGAAGCAGGGGAGTTGTGGGCTGAACTAAGGAGATGGGAAAATAAAAGACAACACAGGCAGAAAGTACCAGAGAGCCAGAGCAGCGAGGGGACACACAAACCTGGGCTCTCTTGCACAAGGGGCTCCGAGGCTCCCCTGACTCCCTGCACTTGCACCCAGGAAAGGAGTCAGTGATACAACGACTGATGATGAAAAAAGGCGATGGGAAGCAGGAGTAGACGAGGGGCAGGTCAGGTGGAGGGCTACTACCAGAAACCGGAAAAGCAGCAGGCTACGTGTGAGTTGCCCCAGTCCCCGTGGCACGATGTGGGTGCTCGCCCAGCTCCCTCCAGAAGAGACTTGGCAAGTTTCCCTCAACTAAGCCACAAAGAGCTCTGACTTCTCCTGTCCCGCCGGCTCCACAAGGACGCGGGCGGCAACCTGGGTGGTGGCACTGCGGGCACGCGCGTGGGCCCGCTGGTGTTGCGACAGCGAGCGGCTGTGGCTGAAGCACTTGCCACACTCAGCACACTCGGCCGGTCGCTCGCCCAGGTGCGTCTTGCGGTGCAGCGTGAGTTTGGAGGCTACACTGAAGGCCTTGCCGCACTCAGGGCATTTGTGCAGTTTGTGGCCGGTGTGATTGCGCCGGTGCACATTGAGGTTGGACACGCAAGTGAAGCGCTTGCCGCACAGCTCGCAGCGGTAGGGCTTCTCGCCCGTGTGGGTGCGCCGGTGCTTGGTGAGGTCGGAGCGGTCGCTGAAGCAACGACCGCACTCAGGGCACGGGAAGGGCTTCTCGCCGGTGTGGATGCGCTGGTGCACCACAAGGTCGGATCGCTGCCCGAAGCCCTTGCCACAGGTGGCACACGTGTGCGGCCGCGCGCCCTGGTGGCTACGCTGGTGGCGCAGTAGTGTAGAGCTCTCGCTGAAGCAGCGGCCGCAGTCGCCGCACGTGTACGGCTTCTCGCCCGTGTGCGTGCGCTGGTGGCGCACCAGCGTGGCGCTTTCCAGGAAGCCCTTGTCGCATTGCGGGCATTTAAAGGGCTTCTCCCCCGAGTGAGTCTGCAGGTGGCGCGTCAGCGTGGAGCTCTTGCTGAAACTCTTGCCGCACACGCCACACGAGTGCATGTCCGGGGCTCGGGGTCTGTGGGGCTCAGGGCTGCCGGCTTCGTGGATGCGCGCATGGCTCCGTAGCCCAGCACTGCTGTGGAAGACCCGGGGGCACTGCGCACAGCGGTGGGGCGGGATGCTGGGGTCCGAGGTGGGGCCCGTGGGATGTACTCGCGCCTGGTGGAAGCGCAGTGCACTTTGGCGGAAGGCGCGCGCGCACAGAGGGCAGCGACAGGGTCGCTCGGGCGGGTGACGGCGGCGCCGGTGCAGCAGCAGCCCAGGGAGGTGCGGGAAGCGGCGGCCGCACATGCGGCAGGGCCAGGCACGGCTGCGCCGCCGGTGTGTGCCCAGGTGCAGATCGAGGCGGCCGCTGTGGCGGAAGCTCTGGCCGCACTCACTGCAGATGTAGAGAGTCTGGCCGGCGTGGGCGCGCCGGTGCGCCCGCAGGTCAGTGGCCCGCGCACAGCACTCGCCGCACTCCAAGCAGCGGAAATGGCCGTCTCCGCTGTGCGCGCGCTCGTGCCGCAGTAACACTGAACTGTAGCGGAAACTCTTGCCGCACTCGCTGCACGCATAGGGCCGCCCCGCCGCCCCAGGCGCGGCAAACATAGTGGGGACGCGCTCACCAGACTGCTCCCGCGGGGCCGCCTCCTCACGCAGTGAGCACTTTTTTCTTAAGGCCTGGAAAGGGAAATGTAACAGAGAGAAAGGGGCAGGCCTGGAGAATGGGTCTGTGAATTCCAGGCTGCTTCTCGCATGGGCAGGCGGTGCAGCTGTTCCAGAGACGGGCTGTGGCCAGGGTCACACCGCACCGCGCCCCTGTGGGGAGAAGATCACCATGAGCTCCAGCAGCCGCTGCAGGAGCCCGATCTTGGGGAGGAGAGCATGAATCCCCATTTCTAGTAACTTCCTCAGGCAGTCCATCTCTCGGGCTCCCTACTCCGTGGGAAACAAGAATGTACAGGGCGTGTCCTTGAATCACCTGAAAGGACATGAGGGACAGGCCCAGCCAGATGTCCTGGAGATCAGGCAGGCATGGATCCAAAGGAGACCTTCGGGTATCATCAACATTGCTGGAAGAAAAGCCAGCGCCCAGCCTGTTCTCTGGCCTTAGACTGGGGTCTCTATCACGGGATGCATTAGAAAATGACCAAGAGGGATGATGGGTCATAGGAGGTCCTGGGCTTGGGTCATTTTAGCACTCTTCTCCAAGACCCATTTCCCGAGTGACCAACGTGAGCCCAGCCAAACATGAGTTGGAGGACATGCGGATGTGATGAAGCCAATAGGTCGAGCAGCAGCAGCCTGGACAAAAGGCCCAGACCCTGATGTTATGGAGGGGCTGGGCTTGGCAAAGGAAGGTATCCGAGAAAACCCAACAGGACAGTTCCGGATAAGCAACTACCCCCTACCAGTAAACAGCTCCAAAGAAGAGGAAGCAAACTCAGGAACCAGGAAGGGGGTGAAAAGAGGACATGGGTGAGTAACAAAAAACATGACCAAAAGTTGGTAGCATTATCCAAGAACAGCGTTCCACATTTTCAGGGAAGGTTGGAGAGAAAGAAGGTATATCCTTTCTAAGTCTCACAGAATCCAAATTGCTTGTGAGCAACTGAATATGATGAATCTCATAAATAAAAAGAAATTGTGAACATCCTGCACACTCTCTTCACTGCCCCAGCACCGGGAATCTGACAGTAGCAGAAACCCTTCCAAGGAGGTCCCTCTGCCCTGCTATCCTGTTTATCTCAAATAGTATCCCTGAATTCTTCTGACAGGTTGCTCCAGGCAGCTGTCTGGGAGCAGGATCAGCCTTTGTAGTACTTGCAAAGAACCTTGCATGCCCTCTAGATAAGAGCCCAAATGTGGCTGCCCTGCTCCCTGGCTGGCCTCAGCACTGACTATGCCCCTCAAGGTCGCTGGATCTGTCCCCAGCCCAACTGGAGATGAAGTACAGTTGCTAGTTAAGTATAGGTCCTTGACACCCAATGGATCAGGGAGAGGAAAAAACAAAATTGTCAGCTGTCATCTTATCAGGTAAAAATTCATCACAAATGCTTGGGACTTTGGTTAAAGTTCCTCATAGACAGGGAATATCTTTTGGGTGCGAATGGGGGCAGGTGAAGAAAGACTTGAAAGCAAACCTGCAGAGGTGGGCTCTGGAGCTTCTGCCCTGCTCCACGCTGGGCAGGAGGGGCCAGTGTGAGAAGTCCTCCTCGTGTGCCTCTGGAGCAGGGTGTGCTGTGCACTGCAGGGGTGAGGTAAGAGGAAAATGTGGATTTCAGTTGGGCAGGGGGAGAGAGAGGGAGAATGGAGGAAGGCATTTTTTAGTGGACGTTTTCAAATACAGAAAACTAGGAATAATCAGGAATCACTCTCCATTTTGTTATTCTTGTTTCATCTATGACACTGGGAGTATTTTAAATCCTAGACTTCTTATTCAAAGAGGATGACTTTTAAAAAAGAATCTCCAAGCAGGGACAGGGCAGGGACTGGAGACCCTCTGCAAACTCAGGAGTAGATTTTAGAAGGAGTCTCTCAATTCCTGCAGAGGTAACTTTCAGCCCAGATACTTGGGTTGCTGGTTCCAGGTGGATGCCAGTTCAAAGGAATGCTTGCTCTCATGAGAATAAAACCTTAACTGGATATGCAGTGGCTGATTCCAAATGCCAAAGAAAGCAATGCCCATGCCCCAGGAGTGCTTTGCCTCCCTGTTGGTATCGGGAGACTATGAAATCTCTCAGAACATGTTTTTGGGAGCCTGCCCTCTCCCAGGACACATGCCAGATAAGATGAGAAAAGTGCATACACACCAGCACACACATATCGATGGCATGTAAGAAGGATACCTTTCCTCCCATTCTGGATATGGATAAGCCTGTGTGGATAAGGGTGCAGGCTTGGTGCCTGAGTAACCAGACAGACCTTTCAGTCTTTCTTTTGCACCTTACCCCATGCTGGAGCTTACCCCAGAAGCAAGGAAGGTCTGATCCTGGGGTGGAACCCTGAAAGAAAAAATATTGCTGTACCAAAAAGAAATGATTTCTAGACCGTCCTAACCACCACTCTCCTGACTGAATGTGAGTTTTCACATTGCTATACCATCAAATTTCTTTTACTTTGGGAGAAATAAAATAATTCCTGAAAGCTTGAAAGATGGAAAGGGGGAAATTTATGTGTTAGTTAAAATCCTAATTGTTGAATACTTATTTTAGTAGCTTTCAAGCATTGAACTTACAAGTACTATACATGTAGCTAATAAAAATAGGCACTAAGAAGTCAGATAAGCTTAAGGAAAAACTAACATTTACAATAGTTTCAAGATAAACTTTTTTTTTTTTTCTTTTTGAGTTGGAGTGCTGTTGCCTAGGCTGGAGGGCATTGGCACACTCACTGCCACTGCCACCTCGACCAGCTGGTTTCGGCGATCCTTCTGCCTCAGCCTTCCAGATAGCTGGAACCTCAGGCATCCACCACCACACCTGGCTAATTTTTTAAAAAAAATTTATTGTAGAGATGAGGTCTCGCCAAGTTGCCCAGGCTGGTCTTGAACCCATGAGCTCAGGCAATTCTCTCACCTTGGCCTCCCAAAATGCTGGGATTATAGGCATGAGCCACACACACCTGGCCCAAGATGAACTTTTGAGATTCATATATAACTTTATTTTTAAAAAAATAAATACTGTAGGCATTTCATACCATATCTAATTGATTACAAATTACAAATAAGGAGTGTTAGGGATAATAAGGACTTAGGATATTTATTAACAATCTACTGTGAGAGTTTTTTTTCTGCAGTGCATCTTTCAGTCATAATAAAGGCCTTTCTTCCCTGGTTATCTGTTCTGCCATGCCAGCATTTCTAGGGTGGGATGAGGGCCCCCAAAAAATCATAATCCATAAGAAGCAAGCAGTCGTCTTGTCATTCTTCCATCTTGAAGCAGAGTTGTATAGCACTGGTCTGGGCAGCAGGGAACGGGGCTGAGGGGCTCTTCTGAGTTGAGCTGTTGACAGCAGTCAAGAGCCACAGGTGGAGATTGAGCACCTAAAACCTGGCTGGTCTAAATTGAGGTGTTGTAAGAATCATATACACTCCTTATTTCAAAGATTTAGTGTTAAAACAATGCAAAGTATTTATAATGTGTAATGCTGATTATATGTTTAGATTATATTTTGGATATACTGGCTTAAATGAAACATTATTAAAATATGTTTCACCCACTTTTTAAAGAAAACTTGAAGTTACAAATGTGGCTCATATTTTATTCCTGTGGATCATGTGGTCCAAATGGCCTTTCTGAATCCTGGAACTACATATAAAGAAAAGCTGGTCAACCCCACAGTACCAGAAGAGCTTTGGTTGGGAGAAGGTTTCTGTGCCCACCTGATTCTAAGAGCCCCTGTGAGCATGGAGGAGGGCCATTCTCATCTCCCAGTCCAGCCCCTGGCTACTCACCCCCTCCCAGGAGTCCTCCTGTCCCCCCCCCACCTTTTTGAGTAGGTGTCTCACTCTGTTGTCTAGACTGGAGTGCAGCGGCACGCTCACAGTCACTGCAGCCTTGACCTGCTGGGCTCAGGTGCCTTCTGCCTCAGCCTTCCAAGTAGCTGGAACCACAGGTATGTACCATCATACCTTGCTACATTTTCTGATTTATTGCAGAGACGAGGTCTTGCCAAGTTGCCCAGGCTGGTCTTGAACCCCTGGATTCAGGCAGTCCTCTTGCCTCTACCTCTCAAAGTGCTGGGATTACAGGTGTGAGTCACTGTGCCTGCCCCCTCCTGCCCTTTGGAAAGCAGACATCTGTATTTCTTATCTAGACCTGGTAGGGATCTGGGCTGTGACTGGTGCAACACCTTCTCTTCCAGCTGCTCTCAGGGTGAAACCACACCAGGCATCACTATATCAACACATAACGACTCTCACTCTTCATCCTCCTAGTAGTCCTGTGAGATGGGTACTATCAGTTACCCCTATGTGACCTGAGGTTCCTGGGTAGGGCATCCAGCACCATTGAGCACAAGCATTCAGGTGGGTCCAGGGGCAGTACAGGGACAGCAGGTTGGGTGGCTCATCTCTCACTGTCCCCAGGGTAGCCCCTGTACCTTCCTGGAGGCTACAGCAGGGACAGGCCTGGCTATGTGGCGAGGTGGGAAGCACCGGGTGGTCAGGGGAGAAGGTCGTGAAATGCTGGCCCCAGCAACTGTTGTATGGGGCCCCAGGGACTGGCTTGTGTGCACTGTGTTAATCTTGGGGCCCTGGCCCAGGAAATGGAGCTGTCCCCATTAGAGGAGAGGACAAGGACTGAACATGGGAGGTGGGGAACTGCAGTTGCATGGGAAAGGGGCTTCTTCTAGCGGCTTCCCTTGTAGTTTCACCCTTCAGGAGCTGAGTGATGCTGTTGTCTCCCGGATTCTGACACCCCTAGACTATCCTGAAATCCAGACCAGATAGATGCAAATTATCCATTTCCCTCTCTGGACTAGGTGTGGAGTTAACAAGTTTCCTTGGTCCTCAGGACCCTGCTCTGGGGCCTTTCCTCACAGTGAAAGTAACAGGAGAAAGTGATTCCCATCCACTCTGGAAAGATATAAGCCCTGTCCTAGGAGGT